TATTTTTTTACTCTTTAGGGAGCATTATAAATAGCTACGTTTTTAAAAGTAAAAAACTACTATTTATCATTGCTATTTATCAAATAGTTACTATTTATGAACAAGAAAAAGAAATGCACGAACATTGTACATATAACAAATGTCACTTTGAAGAAGAAATTTAAAATCATACACAGTGTACATAATGTAAAAGGAAATAAAATATAGTAATATTTTATAATAAACTAAGTAAAACCACTATTATATTATAATGTCGATTCTAATTTATTTTATATATTTATTCTAATAATAAATTCTGAAACCCTAATCATGTCAAATGAGGTTTTTATTCTGCTTACGTGACAGTCCGATATCCATATGAACTGTGTGTCTTTTAGAATCCCATTCAGTCTTGCCAATTTCGCCTGTACGTCTTGTATTCTTGGTAATATGGCTAGAACGTCGTCCACGTATCTCAAACAGATCGAGTGTTTGCTTATGATGCCTCTGTAATATTTTTCTTCCAATGACTCCATTACTAGAGAAGCTAGGACAGCATATAATGGTGAGCCCATGGCCAGCCCATTATACGAGTTTGTTGTAATCTTCCCTAGTGAGAAGGAGATCATCTCTCATCTCCTGTATCACTCTGGTGGTATCCCTGATAGCAGCCTCTGTAGGTACCTTCGGGAACAGCAACTTTATGTCAAAGCTTCTGATAAGGTATGTTGAGTTCTTCAGATGTGAGTTGCTTATTGAACCGAAGACCTCTAAATAGTGGTTTGGCCAGGACCTTGGCTAACCTATGTGGGGCACTACCTATGCCTGATATTATAGGTTGCATGGGGATGCCTCTTTTGTGTACCTTTGGCATCCCCTTCATGGTTGGAGTGCGAAGATTCTCTTCTAAGAGATACATTACTCTCTTCCCACTCTCTGTATTTCCTAGGACAGTGGAATTCTACAAGTGGGTGGAAGCGGTTGTAAGCTTGGTGAAACCGACCAGCAATGTCAAAATTGTAACAGCTTCCAAATTTACAGCTGAACACATTCTCACTCATGGTGTTTTCTACTTCTTTTTCAACATTAGAGCTGAAACACCAAGATGACGCCTTCAACCTTCTATATTTTTTCCAGCCAAACCTCCAGAGCATCCAACATACCAGCAAACCAACGATGACAGTCTCAGAAACACCCATCGCCCTCATTCAAACCACTCCTGTCAAAAAACACTCACAACCAGAAGCAAATTCCAAAGACATGTTCACGTTGATCAAATAAGTCGAGAAGTTACCGGAGCCAATACACAGATTTACCCAGACCCTACGTTCAAAGAAGGATACAATGAAAACTCAATCCATGCAGACTCAACCACCACTAAACCACTCTTCAACATCGACTGATTCCTTCCAAACACAAACCTGTTAAACCCAGACACGCATCTGTAAGAAAGCCAGGAGAACCCAGACAGAATCCTTCACTCATCATGCAAACAGTCTCATTCATCCTACGATTACAGGACCGATGCCGTGTTCGACGAAAACTTCCAGTACCAGTTTCCGTGAACCAGTCTTTGAAGAAGACTACCACCAATGTTTCCAGCCAAGTGTTTTCTTTATAATGGTCTATTATACCTAATGTATACAAACCTTTTAAGACTTGTAACAAAACCCAAGAAATTTATCCTGATTTTATGAAACTTTTAATTATACCACTTTAACTTTACAGTCCATCTATTCATTAAAAGTTTAATTGATGACTTAGTTCCAGTGTTTCAGGTCAGTCATTATTAAGGGTCTTGCCACCCTTGTCACTGCTTTGATCCTTTTCTCAACCTCTCCTCCCTGCTAAACTGCTTCTTGCCTTCAGCTTTTGATACTCACAGCTTTCCCAGATATCTCGAGGTTGTTAATTAGTCACGTACACTGCCTGTTAATCCTTTAACCACGCGCTACTAACGGTCACACGTCGCCTGTTAAACCAAATTAAGTTGCTTAAATTTTCGGCATAAACATTTTAATAATTCACATAAAGAATGATTCTAAATTTCGCAAGTGGGGCGAAGAAAAACAACAGTTTCTGAGGACTCCTGATTATCTTTCAGGCCTGTTAGATTTTAAATCGAAATTATTGCCAAGATATTAAATTAGATCAGTGTCACAATCTCCTGAAGAAGACTTGCAGTCGAAACATTGAGGATAAAAGATCGTGTCATAGCACTGATAGTCTCATTGCTACCTCAGTATCCATGAGTTAATTGAATTTTGCTGAATATTTGTATGAATGTTGCATATTTATCAACTTCAATGAATTAAGTAAAGAAATATTTGAATCACGGAACTGTCAAATATAACTTTTAAAGTGTTGTCATGTAGGAACAAATTAATCTATGATAATAATAGTACATGTCTGTGGGTCTCTGTGTGTGACTTCCATAACTCCAAGAGGAAAGAACCTAGAAACTTGAAATTTTGCACCCATACTAAGTGGACCCTGAGGGTGTGCACCTGGGTATTACTTATCTTATCCACTTGCGTGCAGGCATGTGCATGCGCATCTTTTTATTGAGGAAAAATAGTGAAAAACCACATAGAAATGAAGTGTTTTTTTATATGACAAATATAAATCACAGACAGACAGGGCACTTTAGGGCTATGTGACAGTCAAATCCTACTATTCTGTCAGATAAGAGCGATTCAAGGGAAGGTGGTGGATGCTGTTGACTAACCGTCTCCCCTCTAGTCTACAAGTTAAAAATTAGGAAAAGTAATCTAGATATCACTTCGAAAAAAAAGTTATACAGAAAGTCGCGAGGTGTATTATCGTTTTCAGTTGGGTGCGTTCTTTGAGAGATCCATGATTTTGAAGCTGCAAGCGAATTGTCTGAAGTATTTTAAAAATTGGTATTAGGTTAGGTATACCCGAAGCTGACCATTATGTCGCTTCTACTAATAAGATACCTCCTGACCTTGTAGGAATTATATGCAATGCAATATAGCTAATTTATTTTAGTTAAGTATTTTAGCCTTATTATTACACTCTAAGCTTAAATACTTGTAAATAAACAGAAGATTTTAACTTCAGAGCCATAATGTCTCTGTTTGATAAATCAACTTAGCTAATTTTTAGTGTTTTTATAAATAGAGAGTTTATGCCTTTTATTGATAATGTTTGAAGAGAGCTTTGCCTGATTAATTTTTAATAAAAATGATATTGATTTTATCTTACTTATAAAAGTTTCTGTAAATATACAATGTTATTCTTTGTTTGTAATAAAGACTGCGTGGTATTATTACTCTGTATTGAATGAAAGGAACACAATATCTTAAAGTGAATTAATTTTCTAACAAATGCTCGCAATTTGTGCTATTCTTTCCTTAATAGCTGTCTGATATTATTAGGTATTGCACACAGCTTCTGAAACAAGTGGGGTATTCAACCTGTCTTGAGTCATGCGAAACATCTAACTACATCTATAAAGCTATCAGTTTCATGAAGCAGCTTTTTCATATCAGTAATAAGAAATAATTCAAGCTCAAAAATATAAAGTCAGACACACTTTCGTACAGTAAATGTCGAACAGCATAAATACCATCCCTGTTTCATTTGTAAAAAAAAAAAAAAAGTATTCCCGTGAAGTAGTCTTGTCCAGGATCAATAACGTTCGTGGATTTAGTAACTTGGACAAACTTTTAAAAAGAATTATATATGAATGATGGAAAGAGGGGATAAAATCCTTACTATTCTTCGTAACTATCACCGAAATAGGTGAGTATCATGTTCAACAGACATGGGGATAAATGGAAGCAAAATTCATGGATTGAATTGATATCAATACATTATATCTTAATGTTTAAAATATGATATGTTCTTGGACACTTAGAAGATCCCAGTAAAATTTAAATTCTCAAAATGTAACTAGAAATCATGTATGCAACATGAATGATTAGGTGATAATGTTCCATGAGAGAAATGTAATATTTCCGTAGACACGAAATTCGGAAGGTTAAGCTGATCATAATAGAATTAGGGCAAATATTATAATGCAAACTAAGATCAAGTACAAAAGATTAATATCAAGGTGAAGATAGTTCATGACACTGACATAAATTCAATCATGTGTTTTTTAATTGATGTGTAACATTGATAAAATAATTCGATTTTTATCATTTATTTCAGGTTCAATAGTTTTACGAAAGAGCTATCTCACAAATCTAGAATATTAATTGTGTAATTAATCACTTTTGTTTGTGCTACTATATTCATCAATATTACAATAGTTTCAGCCCAGTGCTGTATGTCATATGTATGATTTAATATATGCTAAACACATATTTTTATAACAATTCATCTTTTATATATATAAAATTGATTGATCCTGTGATCTGTAGGTCCGGAAACAGCTTACTGCAGACAAACAGGAAACTATGCTTAGTAAGCAAGCTGTAGACAGTAAATGACTCTAAGTATGTTATGTAGTTTGGTCAGTTACAGTTTACTTTTCTCTCAATGGATTAGACTAATAATATGGAGAATTCACATGAATCACTTGATTCAATGTTGTTCAGGAACAGCAAATTGCTTGAATAAGAGTAATGAATTTTCTATTAGCAATTAAGATAATTTATCAAAATTCTAAAAATATATTTCTTGAATTAATTCATTTTAGTTTCATAGTGAAACACGAGAGTGGGTTTGATTTTCAAAATAAAAAAGCTAAATTGTGTTCAAAACAACTTCACGAGATCTATTTTTCCAACAGATGTTTATTAGACATATATCGTGGAAATAAATATTAAAATCCAAACTTGAGCTGACTGATATTTCTAGTTTTTAACAACCAACTTTCTACATCTCTTTAAAGAACAAATTCGTTGTTTAAAATACAATAATTGCTATGTGCTGTTTAACAAATATTATTAGATGAATATCGCAAATACTAAGAGGTCTGTTACCTAAAAACATGGAACTGGTAAACGTGCCTTAAAAATGTCTCCCAGATTTTCCAGTTAACCCATGCCTTGTCTCTGCCATCATACGCTATTTCTACGTTCATGTGTTCCTAATAGTGCGAACCCTTACGCCGGAAACACAAATTATTAACCCATTGGTCCTGTACTAATGATCTACAAGAGGATTACTAGAAAATATATTTACATTGGTTCATTCGTGTATAACAGAACCTACAAAGGGGTTGACTAAAAATGGTGCTATAAAAATTCGTTGTTTGGATAAAAACTTGTGAGTATAACACGATAAAGAGTGATTTCTAAGGCCAGTGCAGAAGTGCTGAGTGGTAAAGTAATGACTAAACCCTTTCATAAACCATCCCATTATCTCAAGCACAAATGAAAATGATAGTCTGGTTGTTAAAACTAAGGAATTCAAAAGGCACTCTGTATTCTAATTGATTAGTTAAAGCACATGTGCTAATCATAAAATTGGTCTCGGGGTTCTTTTAAGTACAGTAAAAGTTACTTGCTATCTATCCTGGGAAGAAGGGTTTCCTAGAAGAAAGAGTGCCAAGTATTTTGTCCTTAAAGGATATCGGATAACATTAGACAAATCTAAACAAACTGAAAGATAAAATCACAACTGAGAAAGAGATTTTGAGTTTGTTCTTAGAGTTTCTGATGGGCTAAATTGTAATCTAAAACCTATCACCATGTTCACTGTACATACTCAAGTTGAGTAACTTGTGCTAAAGAGAACTCGGAAGAAAAAACATTGGATATCTGAAATTTTTTCTGTCACTGAAGAACACACTTCTCTTCCACAGAAGACTTGAGCTCCGTTACTTGGTTTTCCAAATTGCTCTTCAGTTCTGAATAAAAAAGAAACAACGATATTCAATAACGTTACAATAATTTCTTTAAACTAGATTGAGAGGTATAAGCGTCCTGTTGGTGTCTTCCTCGAATATTTTACAGCTTGAATTAAAATGATATAAATAGTGAATAATATTTATTCTTAAGGGTAGCCTGCAGGAATTTCAAAGCTTCATTGATTCTTCTTAAGAGAAGCTAGTACGGATCTAAACTCCTTGACTCTTCCTGAGATATTCATGCTAGGTTTTGCTAGGTTTTCTCAGGAAGATTCTAGGATATTTTGATACTTATGCTAGGTTTTCTTAGGAAGATTCAAGGATATTTTGATATTCGTGCTAGGTTTTCTCAGGAAGATTCTAGGATATTTTGATATTCATGCTAGGTTTGGTCAGGAAGAGTCAAGGATGTTTTGATATTCATGCTAGGTTTTCTCAGGAAGAGTCAAGGAAGTTTTGATACTTATGCTAGGTTTTCTCAGGAAGATTCAAGGATATTTTGATATTCGTCATGAATATCAAAACATCCTTGACTCTTCCTGAGAAAACCTAGCATGGATTTCAAAATGTTTCATAATTCTTCATGGAAGAAACCAACACGGTCTGTAACAACTTGCCGAGTTTTTCTAAAACGAAAGTGGCGTGGATTTAAAATACTTTCCTCGAGTCTTTCTAAAAGCTACTAGCATGGACTTCAAATTAATTTCAGGCAAAAACATAGCCAATATATTAATGCCGTAATGAGCAGTGATAATTTTTGTGATGTCTTAAACTGTAATCTAAAACCTGTCACCATGTTCCATGTAACAAAAAACTGTACATACTCAAGTTGAGTAACTTGTGCTAAAGAGAACTCGGAAGAAAAAAAACTTGAATATCTAAACAAACTGAAATAAGCACTATCTATTATTCGCAATCTTAGAATAATTTTAAACATTCAAATCGTTATGAACCAAGAGTATCAAATAACTTGTCATAAAATAAAAAAATTATACTTTGCTCTTTGTTTTGGGCGTTCTTTAAATTTTACAATGTCAGAATACCACCTTGTTTTTCGTATTGACATTTACTGGAATTCATAAAGGTACTTTACATTGTTTTTAGCCCTTTCTAGCCCAATTTATTTCCGGGTTATAGAAAATCAAGGTATGTGAAAATTTGACAAATATAAAAGTAGAGACAGGGTACATTCCAACTGTGTATTCCTTCCACACCAACTTGTCCAAAATGAAGTACTCGTTGAAATACTATGTTGTAAATATAATTAAATTATTCATAAAGGTTCTATCGAATGTCAATACATTTACTAGTTACCTTATCACACAATAAGTTTGCAATCATTATTCCATACAGAATACATTTAAACAAAATCTGTTCTTTGTGAAACACAGATTAACTTTGCATTTCTCCCAAGAAACAACTGAATGGTTTTGAGTGCAATTTTTCAATCTCTTGCCTAATACTCAGTGTAGCTAATGTTCCACACTATCATATCTAATGCCAAAAACTGCATATAGTGTCATTTTTCTGCAATGATTTGCCAAGTTTTAAATGGTGATGGTCTTTCCCTTTTTACCCCAACGTTAGTCACTTTTGATCTCAACAAAAACTGTGAAAATCAATAAGGTGTTTTGGCCTTTATTTTCTAATTTGATAGAATAACTTGTAAATAAGCCAAGCACTTTCATAGTGCACATCTTTACATATAATCCATATCATGGAGAACTACTCCCCACCATTGATTTATTATAAACCTAGACCACAGCCGGATGTTCGATGGATTTTATTCTGTGACTGACCATCGCTGCACCTCTTTTACAGGATTGCAGTTATCAAACGATGATATCAAATGCATTGGCTTGCTGTCACACTACTTCTGAAAAGTAATATTTTATTTTTCTTCTGTCTGATAGCCAAATGACCCACGGCCTTTTTTCTTTAGATATTTTTCGTATGTTGTTTATTGCATGGAACCCTTTTAGGCTTAACAGCTCCAGCAGCAAAAAAATCCTCATCTGTAAGAGGTACTATCAGCTTATAAGACCTGAACAAATTATAAAACAAAAATTGATATATTGCTATTTTTGGAAAATTATCAACATCAGAATCAAATTCCCATCAATTCCAAGATATTCATTTTCTATTGCTCTGTGCCTTTTTCCAATAAAATTTTAGCTTTGCCTGATCATTTTTTTACCTTCAAAGAAGAAGAAGATGGGTTATATACAGAAAATTACCATGCCAACATGATACAAGTAAAGTAATTTTCAAAACGTCCACAAGACGTTAACAATAAAAGAAATGTATTTTTTCCGTTGGATAGCAACAGAAGGGTGACTCAAAGCTAATCTTAGCCTTCTTCCAACCCAAGCTGTCGTGTATGGTGTCTTCAATGTGAATTTTTATCTTCTTGGTTTTCGAGATATGGATTGCAGAGAAAAAACAAGTGAGCTTTCAAGCTCAACACCTCCTTTCAAGGGGTTGGCTTTTTATATTTTTAAAGGCATCATCTACTGAACGTATAAGGAACTTATACATATTATAGGCTTAAGAGTATTATTACATGATGTTATATTTAATATAATGATTCATAAATAACTCAGTGGTCTGGAGAGTGTGAAGGAAATAGGTAGTTATTTATCAATAAAATGAAACGTAACGACTTGAAATAATTGAGGGTTTAAAACACAGTTCAGAAGTTTGAATTTGTCCTTAAAAACTGAATGTATTATAATAATGAATATATTGATATGTATTTGAGAACTGGAACGAAAATTTAAAAATAAAGTTGTTTAATGGTTTAAGATATAGATACATACATGTACACTTCCAAAAAAAAGACTTACTCTTTAAATCATCGCTTTCTTCATTTTCAGCTTCTGCTTTTAATGCTCCAGGTGTTTCTGGTTTAAGGGTCGCACCTGATTGGTCTGTCTCCATTGTTGGTTCTTCTTTTTTCTTAATTCCATACTAAAATGTCATAATAAACTAATAAAACGTACTTGGGTGCCATTATATCACAGCTCGTAAATAATTTAATCTATGGGGAAAACCAAATATTTCGCCAACTTGTAGATCGAGAAAAGTAACTTATTCTTAAATCTACCAGATATTTTCTTTATTCTATTAACTTTCAAGTTCCTTAGTTTAATAGACAATATACAAGGTGTTCCTCAAAATCAATAATCAATGTGTAAACCCCAGGTTTCGTGTTGTTTCAGATTTGATTAAATATGGCACTCACTTAGAGCGAATACTTTGAGCACTTATAACTGTATTTCGCGGATCCGTGTAGGTTACCATCCCTGATAGCCTACGATGCACCTGTCTCAGCAACTCTTACCATTGTGATTTGCTAATACTTTGGCTCCTAAATGACAGATTTAGAGATGTTCCCAAGAAGAAGTGTCTGCCTGTTTTTGTCGGTATGGCCGACGAGGCTTTTTAGCCGAGGGAAATGAAGTCGGAATAATAAAAAAAACATGTCAAATCACACAATGTAATTGCTAGTGCAGTATATTTTATATTGAATTCATTAAGTACCTAATATTATTGCATATTATAATTTGACCTTGTATTCACGCGTATAAATAAACGTTTACTTTCACTGCATGAATCGTTTCAACAGAAACGGTAGAAAGTAAAGAAAGAAGGAAACGAAGAGCAAACAACATGTGTCATACATAACAAGACCTCATCATGCATGAACATTACGCTTCTTAATGATGAACGACTAAAAAAAAATAGAAGATATACTGACAAAAAGAAAAAAAAATGAACCCACAGATTCATCCAATAGGATGAATGAGGATTGCAAAATGATACCTAAACAGCTACGAATAGATGGTGGACTGGGTTATCACAGAGACTGCTGTCAAAAGTTTACAAAAACTCAAGACAGGCTATCACCATCTCAAGCTTCTGAAGCTGCAACAACTTCTTTATCTGGTATAGTCATTGAAATATCTTACTCTGCTCCTGCTACCAGTGATAGAGTGCTTTTAAGTCAAGACTGCATATTTTGTAACGTAGCTGGCTATGAAAAGATACGCAAAAAAGGCGTCAGTGTATCAAAAACTACACCCACATGTCCTTGTGGTTGGGATAAAGCAGTAATAAGATCAGTAGAAAGAAAAGGTGATGAGAAATTGCTCACAATAATTTCAAAGGTTGATCCGTTTGCTGTGGAGGCACAGTACTATGAAAGCTGTAGCAGAGAAGAATCATGGGTAATTGGAATAGATCAGAAGAGAAACGATAAACAATGTGGACTAAAAAGGCCCATGAACATGCTTTTCAAAAGTGTGTGAAGAAGTATTGAAGAAAATAGTAAAGAAGAAAATAATCATGTAACTGACAGATCTATTTACACAATACATATCATTGTTGGACACCACACAATATCCTAACTCTAATTACAGAGCTGAGAAGTTGAAAAAACATAATAATTGGCAAGCAAATAACATTTGCAGACTTTCAAGAAGTCGGTGGCAAATATCTGTCACAGCTTGTATTCAGTATAGCAATTGAAATAACTATGACAATAATTTTGTTTATTTGTAGTTAAGCAAAAAGCTGCTCAATGGGCTATCTGTGCTCTGCCCACCACGGGTATCGAAACCAGGTTTCTAGTGTTTTAAGTCTGCAGACATACAGCTGTGCCACTTGGGGCCTATGGTAATAAAGCTGGCATACCAGCTTAGTGCAGCAGACATTTTAACTGTGGTAACCAATGCACTAAGACAAACATTTATAGATGCATTTCAAAAATGTGAGCAGCTGAATATCTAGAAGATGTTGTGCCAGATGATCTACAAAAATTTTTGAAAGTCATATTTTCTGGAAAGGCAGACAAATAAAGAATAAGATTGAACAGATTTGTATTATCGATAAGTCAAGACACTGCAACCAATGGAAGATGAAACATGCCGAAACATATCATGTTGTGTATGACATTGGACCATGTTGACTTGTTCTTCAGCTTTATGGAGCAGTAAAGCAGAATGAGTTCTTGCTTTATATATACTGCATTCACCTCATGCCAGATCTCTTTTTTTTCTGTTATGATACTCAAATGTCTGAAGTGCTCGATAGCTGACAATGTTTTCAGTTAAACTGACAAACATTGTCGAAACTCACCCAGGATCTTTAGATATGTTAAAACAAGGTGCATTCAGTGAAGTAAGATCAATGATAGCTGGTTGTAAAACTGATGTGGATAAACCTTCATGGGACAAGCAAAGGCTCATGGAGGTGCAAGTGGTACAGGATTGACAGGAATTGCATGCAACTATCCAGCATATCTGAGATGGGTATGCACAACCCACGAGAGATCAATGTACCTGGCTGCAACTCTCTCTATTGCAGACATATCCACTGAAACACATGGTATCCATAAGGATTTAAGAAAGGCAGAAATAAAAAAGAACCATTCAAATGTGCTAAAAGAAATGGAAACTTTCAAAAGCTTTGTTAATCCCCTTCACAGTGGAAAAGGAAAACTCTACAATGAGTCATCAGAGGCACCTGTCTTAGATGATGTAGAGCAATATTTACTCACTGCAGAGAAAAAAGGTGAAGAAGCAAAAATGCTTTTATAGAAGAACGTCTTGAAAGAGGAGAAAGTATTTGGAACTAATAAAGAGACAAATATTCAAAATAAAGACAAGCATGAAAAAGACAGCGAAAGTGTCGTCCTCTTAGAACAAGGTGGTAGAATATAAGAACCAGGGCAATGTTATAACCAAGCTGTTAGTGAAGTCCCAGGAAGAAAACATCAAACTCGAAATGGCAAAGGTAACGAAATACTGCTTCACCCTTGTCCATACTGCACCCCTATCTATTCCCCTCTCTTCTTGGCGATCAGAGCATGAACTGAAGAAACCCAACATTTTGGCCCGATTGCCTTTATCACTATAATACACCCTTTACTCTAATGGAACTAAATCTTTCTCTACACTGGTCTGGCAAGCCATCAGTCAGACCAGATTACATACATTATGAGATGCTATAATATCTCTCTACTGCCACTGTCGATCTTTTTTCTTGTTTCTAACCAGATCTACCAGTTGAAAGTTTCTTTATTGATGGTGTGGGCAATTGTTATCACTTTTATAAGTCAAAAAAGGATACCAATACTTATTCTAATTATAGATAGATCATCATGTTTTTTAATCTTTTTTTTATATTTTGAGAACGTTTACAACAACATCTAGAGGTTTGACATATTACACACCCCAATTCATATGTATTGCATGACCATTTTCTATCTATAGTGTTTTAGAAAAGAGGTCATTACAAGTCCATAAGGGACCAACAATAACCCAATCCTTTCCACTGGAACTAGAGTTTAGGTCTGTATCCTGAATGTTACACTTTTCAGCATTAGAATAAATGGCATCACTAAACAACTTCCATCTGCAACTTCTTTGTTGACGACTTTCATATTTTCTTTCTATAAAACAATTTTCAAGCATTTATTTTATCAGTTTGCATTGCACCTTTATTCAAAGCTCTATCTGAGAGGTGTATAGGTTACCATGATGGCTGAGATAAAGGTCATAGCACTTTTCTTTGATAATAAACTGACTTTTGTTCTGGACATTAATCAGCTTGAAGTCAAGTGTACTTGGGTACTAAACATCCTTCAAATTCTCTCTTTCAAATCTTGGAAAGGAGGTAGATTTTCTATGCTTAAATTCTATTGCTGCCTCACTTGATCTAAGCTTGACTGTGAGTCTTTGGCCTAAGATTCAACCAGATACATTGAACTGAAGATATTGAGCCCTGTATATCCATCAAAGGCTTTGACGCTGCACATGGACTTTCTACATTTTTCCATTCCACGATATATATTTAAAGAACTTTGAACCTTCCCTTCACCTCAGACATTTCCAACGTTTTGCAGTGTGCTATAAAATTCTAATCACTGCCATATCATCCCACCTGTCATTACATCTTGAGGCCTCAGTGGACTCTGCCTTTTGCAAAATCATGGTTGTTATTCCTCCTTTCGGCCTTCATATCCAAGCATGATTGACATGGGTCTTACATTGGATGATATTGCTAAATCTGATTATCAACCCATCCAACGATGTTTTGTTACCATTTATTACCGTGATCTTTCCCAGGGTCACTTGGAAAAGTCGGATATCTATAGCTAGAAGTACTGACTTCTCTTTAATGAACACCTTTTGAGCCATCCTTCTGTTCACATTTTATAGATGCTCGAAATTGTGTGACTCTGTAGGCTTTGCCATGATTTGGATAAGCTCTATGGCTGTTCATATGATCCTCCTACAGATTCTGGGCAATCTTATTTACACTGGCTTATATACAAGCTAATAGATACACTAACTGCTATACTAACTTCCTTAGCTTTTTGAAGGACATAAAATCGCTTATGCTATTCCTCACCCAGTGTTCTTGAATGTTCAGAAAAGGTAGGCTCATTTTACAATATTATCTATATTTATCAAGTTTATCTGGATTCATGGCCATATTGGAATACAAAGGAAGAAGCTTACTAAAATCGTCGCCAAATCAACCTTCACTAGTTGACGTCAATGCTTTTCTCATTCCCTATCAGGCTGTCAGCAAGGCAAAGCTTTGTGTCAGTTAGTTACATAGGAGCATGTTTTTCAGATTAAAACCTACAAATGCTAACTGGCTTCTAGCTTGAATAGTAATCGAAAGGGGGAAGTTGTGTTTGCATAGTTTCACATTAGTTATAGTTTTGTTATCCACCATTTTCTCTTAGATGGTAATTATCCACCAATGTTTGAGTAGTGTGACACTCAAGTCACAACTATCCTCGTCTTACTTACATATTGATGGCACCATTTAATATATATTTTGACTCTTAATGTACTTTTAATGATGGGCAGTGTTATTTGCAATGATGAGACTATCAAGGTTGACCATGTATTAAAAAATGTTTTGTCACAAATATCCTCTAACACTTTGTGGCATTAAAGCCCAAAACAAACGTTTCCATGAGTAATTATGGTCGCTCTCTTTCTCCTTTCGTTTCTTTTAGATTTACTGGTCAATATTTTCATTAACAGTCGATAACAACTTTCATACGGTTTATATTTTAACTAAAACGCAGTTGCTTGTTATCATTAAAAATACATAAGAAACAATAAAATATTGTATCTTCTAATTTCTAACCTTATCTCGAATATCCTGTCTAAACTTTTCTCGTTCTTCCTCCATCTTTCTATGCTTTTCTTTTCTGCGTTCTTCGGCCTCTTTCAATTCCTCAAGACGTTCTTGTTCTTCCTGGTCAGCCTCGCTTTTACCTTCTTGATTATCATTGTCTCCCGCGAGTTGTCCTGTAAAAATGTTTAGTTTATAATGAGGTTTTCCTTTAGTCTCTAGAGCCTAGGTGCTAAGTCATAACAAAAGCATATATCAATGATACCTCATTCCTGTAATGCAAAAGAACTAAAAGTTATCGACAGAGTTAAAAGGAAGTAAATAAATGAACAGAAGCAAAAGAAACTTGATGAATTTAATAGTATATTTATGATCTGTGTCAAGAGATAGGTAAAAGAAAACAATGTGTTCAAATTTTGTCATTTGATCATACGAACACCTATGACATTATATGCAGAGAATTGAAGCAGTTATGTTTGTTGGTTAGAGGTAGAACCTGTAAGAAAGGGGTGTATTAATTAATCAAATTTGGGAAAATGTATCATATTTTATCTTTTGTCTTATGTTTTAACGCTCATGTATTTCATGAAATATTTGGTAGCTTTGATTCAACTATTTAAAAAAGTATTATTTTTCTTTTTAGCTACAACTGAAACATAATTACATTGCAATGTATATTATTAAAGATGGAACGATACGTAACAAGTATGCACGAGCATAAAACCTAATGTATATGGTAAGAAACGACAGAATTTTGAATTTAATGGGAATTATCATTTCAGTTTTCATATTATTTCCAACAAATAGTATATTAAAGAAAACTTAAATAGTTTTTTCTTTGCTTTTATACATTTTTTTTACTATAATTATTATAACCCACCCATAAATATACATATGACTCAGTTACACTTCTGGTTTATTTATAATCAGCTTTGCATTGATATCAAGAAGCCGACCAGTATAAAGTTATCTTAAATCTTTAACCGAAAAACTTTAACACTGTTATTAATTAGAATGGTTTAGTAAATTAAAATCACAGAAAAAAATAAGAAAGAAGACACTTGTAACATCTGTGATGGAACTTTGCAAAGTCAAGGTTTAAAAACTACCTCATGTGCCTTTTTTATATACTTGTCAAAAAAATTAATACAGTGTTTTCTCATTAGTACATTTGACCACTAGTAACAAATTAATTGAATGAGCTGGTTGTGCAGCCTGTTAACTTGACAAAGATGTGCGATTGCCACAGTTTTTTTTAACTTGATTATTTGGTAACTGGTTATTCTAAGGGATGGCAGAACACTTGCATATGCTATATTACTGCTGTTGAAAACTAAAACTAAAAAGCACTCCTACCTTTGATCTCGACGAACCTGTCCATCCAATTCTAGATAACATAAGTTAGTTTCCTTTGAACTGACAATTCTCCAGCTTGACAGAATGTAATACAGTCTCACTAGTATTTTAAGGTTTAAGTACCGATTTAGTGTACTGTAGTATATGATTATAGATTTATTTTCTAATAGAAATGAAAACTATTAATTAGTTATAAGTGTTTTACATATAAAACGTCAGAAAATGTAAAAAGTATGTCATGCAGTGTATTAATTATAGAAATGAAAACTATTAATTAGTTATAAGTGTTATACATATAAAACGTCAGAAAGTGTAAAAAGTATGTCATGCAGTGTATTAATTATAGAAATGAAAACTATTAATTAGTTATAAGTGTTTTACACATAAAACGTCAGAAAATGTAAAAAGTATGTCATGCAATGTATTAATTATAGAAATGAAAACTATTAATTAGTTATAAGTGTTTTACACATAAAACGTCAGAAAATGTAAAAAGTATGTCATGCAATGTATTAATTATAGAAATGAAAACTATTAATTAGTTATAAGTGTTTTACACATAAAACGTCAGAAAATGTAAAAAGAATTAATACATTGCATGACATACTTTTACATCAATTCACCCTGAGAAGGACGTTTATATCAATCTCTAAAAAATGATATACTGTAAATTAATTTTCATATTTAGCTTTATTAATTAACTTATCTAACTGTTCTGCTAAAGCTTAATTTTAGGAGATCTATATAAATAACTATGTTTAACCATTACTATTGTAGAAAATTATGTTCTTACATTTCTGTAGAAATCTTCTCAAATCTTTATCTAGAGCTTGTTTCTTGCTGGTTTGGAAATCGACACATAATGTTGACTAAATCTAATTACACATAGGCATTCTATCTGTTTCTGTCTGAAGGTCATTGACCTTTAACGTAAATGACAGAAACAATCTCCAACATTAATGACACTTCAACCCTACTGGATATTTAGTCTGACTCATCCCAACCATTTTACCAAACATCTCTGACTCTAAAAGTCAGTAAACATAGTTTACTGATTCTTTCACTTTATCTAGTGATATAATGCACTAAATGTTTATTCGTGATATTCTATTTCTCAATGAGACATATTAAATATGTATATTTCAGTTAGTGTACATTTCTTGTATATTTTCTACTCAATTCCATGAACTGATTATTCACGTTTCTAACAAATGTGCTTAACCAACTAATACAAGTCTCCATATATATGCTATCATCATTGTATGTAAGTAAAATCACAAACTCTAAATAAGCCTGTTGTCACACATACTGAGACATTTATTTACAAAGGTCCTAATATTAGATAGACGATTATGATCTTACATCAACTGTTCAAACTTATAGCTAATCATTCATAGTAAACATGTAAGAAAGATCAGACAATACATTAATGGTAAATATTAGAAAGGAGAAATATACTTTATGCCCATATTACAAATTGTTTATTTCAGTTCAGTATGTAAGATTTTTAATATAGTTTATAAATGAAAAGGTTAATGTACAATTCTTGTATTTTGCTGAGTTCATCAAACTTTACAACAAAAACATTTTACTCTCACTACTCATAAAGATTAATCTCTGCTCGACACACAGCAATCAACCAAAAGTTCAGACAGGGATATTCTACAAATATTCGGAACATATAGCTTAGGTTGATAATTCACTAAGAAAAAAGTAACTTTATGGGACTGTGTTTAGACTGAAGACCAAATGTCAGATAAGTATGTGTCTAACTAAGTATGTGTCTTTTATGATACTTTATAAATCCCCTTGAATACCAGATTCGAACAAATATGTTTGAACATCTAATAAATATCTCCATTTATATTTTCTTATATAAAACACACGTTTTATCATCAATAGATATTGAGCAGATATCATTAATATATGTAAGTCAAATCACAGACTGAACAAGTATAACACATAATGAAACATTTATTAAGAAAACTTCGAAAAACTAGATATACTAATATACTATTTGGGAAAACTACAAACATCTTAGTCTATAAAGTACTATAAATGTAATAATATCTGTGGTATATATATATTAGGTCATCAAGAAATTAATGTCGCGTTTTGAAATACTTTCATAACCCCCCCCCCCCCAAAGAAAAACGTACATCACGCATAATAGTTAAACGAACGACCTAAACGTCACGTTAGTGTAGCCTATATAGTGTGTAAAG